TATATATATATATATCTTCTAACTTGTTTGTATGTTTTTTAATGAATTGAGACGTTGATGTATTTTCTTTATAAAAAGAATAATAACTATAACTTACTAAAATACTTACTCTAAAAGAGGAATGAATGCATGTTAGCAAATTTTCATAAAAATTTGTTAAAATTACATTTTTCAGAAGGAATAAATTAACAAATCAAATCTTACAATATATATATATATATATTCACACACACAACAACGTATGATTATTAAAATAATGAAGTTTTATACTGCATATCATTAATTTTGGAGAAAATATTAAAGCGAACAATATTTATAAATAGTTTACTTTTTCTAGAACGAATAATTGTAAACAACGATTATAGTAATAATTTGCAAAGGTGAAAGAATTATTATTTGTTATCTACTAAAAAAAATAACTTATTGTGTAATTATATTAAAATGAAAAGTTAAAAAGATATACAGAACATTTATGGTACTATTACTTTTTTTCAAATTGCATCTATACATGTCAATTGACAACTATATGATTTTTATTATTTACTATGATTGATATTACTGTATTTATTTATTTTGACGTACTTAATTTGATGATTTGAAAAAATAGAAGGAATATGAGAGATGAAGTGGCGTAGAGGAAACAGAAATACTTTGCGTTAGTTCTGAATTTCTTAGAATTAAAGCAATAAAGTAAGGTAATTACCTTATCCATTGTTCATTAATTTCTACGAGGATTATTAGAAGACTCGCATAGGGATTGTCATCGACCATTAATGACACCAAAACCTGAGTTTTATGACCCTTCTACTTGTCGGTGCATGACACGTGGCAGGTGCACGGGGATACATCCATGCGCTCGTCCACACTTACATCACATCACATGCAAGCCCTGCCCTCTTCATTTTTTGAGATACCCTTGTACTGTTCTATAGTTCAGTCAATTTTAAGCTACCACTTTTTTTTTTAATTATTTTTTTATTTTAAATATCATTGAATTTATTTTTAAAAATATTAAGACATTAGAAGAAGTAGAAGTAAAAAACAAATGGTGCTCCGCTAAAAGTATCGATTTATATTGAAAATATACTCATACATTTTATAGTGATGTGTTTCATTAAAAATTATTTTTATATATAATAAATATAATATATATTAATATATTATTAAAAAATGTAAATATAAATTTTAGTAATATATAAAATATGTTATTAAATTTCATTTAAAATTAATATTTAAATCGTGCATAACTATATATCAAATAGATATGTATTTATATATATTATATTTATATATTGACATTTTTTTATATGTAATATTTCTTGTAGTATTTTATTGTTAATAACATTTTTTTTAATTAAAATAACTGAAATATCATTTAATTAATATAACTATGTTAAACTATAAATCGAATGAATTTGATCAAATTATCATTTTATATTATAAATGAAATAATAGAATATTTAAGTATAAACTTTAGTAAAAATTTATAGTTAATAAGAAAATGTCGAGTCAAAATTACGAGTTATAGTAAATTAAATTTTAAATATACATTTTGTCAAAATCCTTAAATAGACAGAACCTTACCAATTATAATGACTATTTTTGTTATTTTTGACTATGATTAATTTTAGATTTATTAGCAACAATTTTAACCATTGTTATATCGATATAAAAGAAAAGTACGAATCAAGCGAGACCAAAAGGGTATAGAGATATATATTTTTTGAGAAAATAAGAAATTACAGAAAGATAAAAAGCAATTTACCCTAAAAATTAACGTAATGGAAACAAAGTTAAAAACAATAAAAATAAATAAATGAAAAAGTAATACACAATAATATTTATAAAAAAAAGTTAGAGCACATGTCCCCTGCACTGTTTCAGGTAGCTAGCTAGCTAGGTTCGTCCCTTGGAGTAGAAATAAAAAATAAATAAATAAGAGAAGTGCTATTCAGTACACCAGTAGAACCAAATGCAGTGCTTCTATAATTAATTATCACAAGGTACGACAATTAATTTGGGGTTGTTAGAATTTAATTTGAATGGTTTTTGTAGTAGATCATTTTATATATATATATATATATATAGTTCGTAATACCTAAAACATAGTAATTTAAGACTTGTTGAACGGAAAAACTGTGTTCCAAAATCCAAATTAAAAAGTTGAAGTGAGGAACTAGCTTGTAATTGGAGAAGGGAGCAACAAAAATATTATATTTAATATCTTTCGATGAAATAATCATGAACTAATTAACTTGCTTGATACTTTTCCATCTTAGAAGCAGTCAAATGATTAAAAAGTTGGTTATGACTCCGTTAGGTTTCGTAATTTGTGTTAGTAAACTGATATATACTTGAATTGTTTAATTACTAAAGCTTGTCAAAGAGAATATCATATGCTTTTTCTTTATAATATTTTGTTTTCTCTTTGTCTATTGTGTTTTTAGTTTTTTTTTCCCTTTTTTTTTTGGGGGTTATATTACCTGAGCTGGATAGTTTATTTAGCATGATCCTCCAACATGTTTCCTATGCCCAAAAATTGCATCAACCCTAGCAACACAAGGTTAAAAGCATAAACTAATTTCATTGGCATGCTTTCTGAAGGAGCCTAGATTAGCACGTGCCTCTGATTTCAATCATTGTTTTTATAACAAATAGTTACGTTTTATTAATTTACTCATTCTAGTAATTAAATTGAATTGACGTGAAAATTAGTTAAGATATTATAAATATAAAGTTTTTTCTAATCATACAATAATTTATTGCCCGGAAGAGAGTGATGCGCTTGCCTTATCCTTACCGTTCATATATCATCCAGTTGAGCTGTATATGTCGTGATTGTTATTTGGTGCATGTTTGATTTTAATTATTTTTGTGTTAAAATAAAAACTGTTCATCAGAGTGCCTATAAATATTATTAATATACTAGTACTAATTAGTTAATTGACAAAATATAATGTTATTATATTAGCATGTGAGTATCCGAGAAAAATAATAACAATAATAATAAAAGAAACCCGGTTCTCGAGAAACTTAACAAAGGAAAATGAAAAAGAAAAGGGTGAAGAATCGGGTTGTATATATATTTGGACACTAATGTTCTACTCTCAGCCATAAATAGGTTGAGTTTAATTAACACAAATTAATGTAATTATTATATCTCTTTATCATTTAATTATGTAACCACTCATTAATAGGCACCTAGCTCTCCATTTTGAGTTTAGATAGAGTTTAACCGTTTCACTTTTTATAATCTCCAGACTGTCCTCCGCAAAACTAATACTTAGATATAACAATTGAAATTTAATGGATAGCTACAAAAATTATTAATAAATAAGATTTTTATCTCTTCAGTATATTTTTTTAATTATTCACAAAAAAATATGAATATAAATACTGCAATGCCCATCTAATTTTGACTTTTTTTTTTACAGAATATAATTTTGACTTGTACGCAGACGTATAATCATACATATTTAATAATTTTCTTTACATAAATTTAATATATTTTATAATTGTAATTTAAATGACCTTTGAATCTTTTTATTGATTACATGTTGCACATTTAATTAAAATATTTATTTCATTAGTAAGCATTGCGCAATTAATTAAGTTGATATAAAAATAGTACTTTTATTTTATTAGTTTGATGAAGAAATACAAAAAATATTTTAATTAGTAAAATGAAAGTAATAAGTTTAAGTATAAATAAATATGTATTTATCAAGTTTTGCTACACGTTCAATTAGCAATTGCATGTTACATCTCACGACATTTATGCATGCTGATTGATAACCAGAGTCTGGGGTCTGATTTCATTTTCGATTGCATTTGCTCCAAACATATATATGCTAGTGGAAAACTTTTAAATTCCACTAAGTTAGTGTATTGTAAGAGAGAAAATCAAATTTGAAACATCAGATCTTATCATATAGATTTTAATGAAGAGAAACAAATTTTATCCTGCGATTTGTAAAAGAATGCGAGATTTCATCTGCTCTCTAATCATTGTTGAATATTATATATCATGCGATATTAAGTGCATGGATAGGTGTTTTTTATATATATTAATTAGTTAGTTTGTGTTACGTTTGAGTAACGAGAAGATGGGGAGGTAAGAAGCCTAGGTAGATGAGGAAAAGGAGAGAAAAGTTGGAAAAACAAGTAGAAATGAAGTGGGAGAAAGTAAAAGAAAAGGGTAAAAAGTAGTAGGAAGTAAGTTGAATTGGTTAGTTTGAGTTTGAAGTGAATTAAAGAGAGGTATTATTAAATGAATGTGGAGAAAAAGAGAGAGAATAAAAAAAAGAATATAGAAATATTTATTACAGTAGTCTAAAGAAAGAGGAGTGGAATTGCAATTCCAATATAGGTGTCCGCTTGTCCCCTTTAAACGCAAATAAACCCTCCTCTGCTTTTCTCTCTCACCACTCAAAACCACAGCTTTGTGTCTCCAACTCCCTAAACTTTCTCACTTCATCCAAATTCCAAGCCATGGAAGCACATGAGTTTTTTCACAACTCCTTCTCCGACAACCCCTCCGCCGCCGACCACTTCATCGTCGAAGACTTCTTCGACTTCTCCAACGACGAAGACGCCGCCACCACCCTCACCGACTCCCTCCCCGCCCACGCCGTAACCCCCGCCGACACCACCACCAACTGCAATTTCCCAGCCGCCCAAGACCATTTCTCCGGTGACCTCTCCGTGCCGGTACTCTACACACGTGTCTCTAACATATATATTCCCATGCCACGTCCAACAAATCCCTTGTCCTTATTACCACATTTGTAATTTGTTTCCTTGCCGTGTGTTTTGTTGTTACTTAGAAATGATAATTTAGTTGTGTTGTGTTGTGTGTAAGCAGCAGTACGATGATCTTGCGGAATTGGAGTGGCTGTCGAAATTCGCGGAGGAATCGTTCTCGAGCGAGGATTTGCAGAAGCTGCAGCTGATATCGGGTGTGAGAGTGGAAAGCGACGGGGCCTCCTCGGAAAGGCGTGAGGCCAGCCCAGTGTTGGGCCCGGCGCAAGGGTCGGTTCCGGGGAAGGCCCGGAGCAAGCGGTCTCGAGGGGATTGGGCCTCTCGCCTGGTTGCGCCGCGGAGGAGGGAGGGCGCCGAGGGAGGGGCGGAGGGGCGGAAGTGCCTGCATTGCGCCACGGACAAGACCCCGCAGTGGCGGACGGGGCCCATGGGCCCCAAGACGCTCTGCAACGCCTGCGGCGTCAGGTACAAATCGGGGCGGCTTGTCCCCGAGTACAGGCCCGCGGCCAGCCCAACGTTCGTGCTGACGAAGCACTCGAACTCCCATTTTACACGCATACTTCTCCATTTACTTTTTACACAACTAAATAAAAATTCAGCAGCAGCAGTTGCTCCATCTGCAGCATCAGCAGAACGTCATGTTTGATGTCTCTTCATCTTCCAACGCTGACGATTACTTGATCCATCACCCCCTTGGGCCCCATTTCACCAACCTCATCTAGTTCCGCTCTTTTCTACTAATTAATCACACTTTTCTTTTTTTTTTTCCTTTCATTTCTTTTCATGTAACTTCTAAATTCTCTCTTTATGTTATATGTAATGTTTCTTCAAGTCATTTTGACAGACTTGAAAACTCACAAACTCTAAATTTTCCTAATCCTGTCTTTTTTTTCACTAAATTATGCCATGGTAGTTGGGTTAAGGATGACGACTTTAATTATAGATATATCAAGAGTATTACCATAAATTTAAACAAATTAAAGAAATAAAATGAAATTTGATTTCGTATATCATATATATTACGGTGGAGAATATCGGTTCAACTATAACTAATTCAAGTTCTTAATTAGTAGTTAAGAGGAGTTGCTTAATTTTGCATGGACCACTTCAACCAAAGGCTACTCGTTTATCGGCCACGCCACGCTGTTCACAATGTTGAAGCAATTAAAGACTCGAGCTACTGCGGTACGACCGGAAACCTCCTAAGTTTAAAACAAGAGGAGAAACTAAAAATATTAATACTAAATTTAGAAAAAAAAGAGAAAAAGCTAAAAAAAATTAACATATTGTTGATAAGGGATAAGTATTAGAAGGAGGTAGAAGATATCACCACACATAAAAATCGCATGCATACACTTCCCGCATCCATTCATGTCAGCACATTATTGGTGCCAAATCTAGGTGCCAGTCATGTTCCTGAGTAGTCAGCATAAATTTTTCAGTTTTTGGTGAATGTTCCTTTCCCTTTATCTTCTATCAAATACACAACCTCAATAAAATTAAAATTGATCCAAATTACTTTTGTCATTCTCCTTAAGATCATGATACTTAAAGTAGTGTTGTTCAGTATTTTATTTTAAAAACCTTAAATAATTATTTCATACTACTAGTGCTATGCTTACCCAACTAATTCCTATTAAAATTGGATTTGAAATAGTGATAATATTTTACTTGTTTTTACATATATATATATACCAATTATTTTTAAGAAAATTTTTTTGTTTCATCATATATTTATACCTCATGTAAATGTTCCTTTATTTTATTCTTATTTTCTTTGAAACAGACTGTTTTATGCAAAAAAAAAAAAAAATAGAATTAATTCGATCGATATATATTGAACGTAACATGCGAGTAAAATGTTTTCCTCATATTTAGAAACTTTACCAAATAAGCCTGAGATACTAACCCTAAAGATGATTCTAATTAATAATCCAAATCCCTTTTAAGGTCACGGCATCATTCCAAGGATTAATACACTACTGAAAAGTTGCATCATATATATGATCGATGCTCCTTACACCTAAACAAAAGATTGTTATAATTTACCAAAATAAACAAAAGATTGTTATGAATTAACCATTACATCATGGATAAGATTATTACATGACTATACACCGGTATACATGTAAATCAGTCACGTTTGAGTGCTATAAATAAAGTGTTTTCTAAAGAATTTCTATTAATTTCATTCTATTTATACTTATACCAACTTAAATGTTAGAATGTTTTTATAGGTATTTTCTACCTTCGATAATGAAACTTTAGATTAAGAAGAATTGACCAGATCAATTGACTATTAAGTAATTATATATTTTAAAATTGAATTTGTCAGATTGATAATTTATTTGATACATACTAAAATATCAATTATTTATCATTTAAAGAATAAATTTTTTTAATTATTTTTACTATTATTATTTTTAAGTTTTATTGAGTGAAATACAATAAAAGAAAGGAGGCTATAATTTTTTGATTTAATATAATTATTTACAAAAAAATCTAAAAATATCTAATAACTTTGTCAGGGCTTATCCAATACTACAGTAATAATAGATCAACTAATAAGAAAATCTATATGTATCACTCACCATTTTGTGCTTCGAATTCAATATCAGCTTTCTTTGGCTTCAACTGCTTGATGAAAATAATAACAATAATAATAATAATTTATTTTAGAAATTGCTTGTCAAAACTCAAAAGCAATTAGTCCTGCATATGTAAGAGCAAACTTTCTTTGTTTCTTTTTCAAAGTGTCAGTGGTTGAAGTATAATAGCTTGATTTTTCATGCACGTGAAAGAATTTGTTCTTGCTTCCTCCCAACCCAGTGAAAACAATGCATGTGACAAGAGATAGAAAAGGGAAACTTCACAGCCATTTCTCCACCCCTATCAGCCCCATGTGATACATGTATTTTGAACTAATTAGGTGATTCGGTAAGTAAGTAATGCAATTGAAGAAATGGAGAGAGAAAAGGAATTCCATCGATGCACACATTTTATATTATTGTGGGTGTGTATGTACGACCTCAGGCAACACAAATCCAGAGGACTATTATATTATATCATTACTTAATGAATATAACGTCTTTCCAAGTTAATTATATTATCATTATTAAATTAGTCATCATTCGAATATAAGCAAATATGAATCTACTGTCTTTTTTCTTTTTCTTTTGCCGGAAATTGTATCTTGCTTGTTTTGTTCAGTCAATAAATTATAAAAAGTCTCAAGAATATGCAGAGAATAAAGCAAAAAAGAAAAGGGGTTGGGGGGGAAGTGATTTGATTTACCCAAGTTTATGTATAAACATATGCTCAAGTATATATATTAAATTAATAAGCAATGCATTATTAGAGTGAGAGAAGCTAGGATTGCGGTGGTGGTCACATGACACTCTTCCATGGCTTCATGCACAGCCCACTGTATCAATGAATATTTGCATATTTCTTGTCACCATCCAGTAATGATAAGTAATTGCTCACTCGATCACTTCACTATAAGCACAATGTGTATATATATATAACGTAATTGTTTGTTTCTTTCAATTAAGTTATCAAATGTTTAAATCTTACCTTTAAATTAATTAATTTTTTTTAAGATTTTTTATTACTACTTTTAATGATAAATATTTCATATTAATATTATAGTTAAAAAAAATTATGGACATACATACCACGTACTAAGAAAAATATATTTATGTTATAAGTCATTCTCTAATACCTACACTCACACTACCTTCATGCACTTATTTAAGGCTCTCATTAATGTTATTTTCTATTCTCCCTTGCTGGAGTTGAATTCGGAGTATTATTTTTCTCCCTCATGCAATCTTGACATGATTTCTCATGGATTGATCATGATGCATTATAAAATTGAACAAAAGTTAAATTGCAATAACTGGGCTAGCTTCTCCTTGCCTTCGGGAGGAGGGAGAATAAATCTATGAATTGAGATTAACTTATATAATTAATAATTTAATATAAGATAATAGCAGGGTCAGATAAAGATTCTTTGGCAAGGCATTTTAATGAAAAAAATAAATCAGCAGTTGACAGGAAACCATAAAATAACCATCAATGTTAAACTTTTATTAAGATTTAGATGCGTATGTTTGTTACTATATATTGAGGGGCATTTTTATTTAATAGATAAAAGACTTTCATTTTTATTGAACAATTGCCAAGTTTAGTTACCCTCGTGCCATCTGAATAGGCAGTATTAGTAATAATGCTCAAGAAAAGTTCCAATCCAAAGTGAATCTGAGCTAAAGTTAACTAGGTTATTGGGTTGCGTAATTAAAATGAGTGAATTATTAATTAAATTTTTGAAATTATAATGATCAGCTAAATTGATCGTTAAAACTGATAAAATGATAAAATAGTTTCTAAAATTATAATAACCAACTAAATTGGTCCATTAAATTAAAAAATATATATAAAATAATCTTTAAAATCTTAATTTATCAAACAATTTAGCCTATACATTATTAGTTAATGTCATCTAACATCGTTATAAAGGTTTAACTGACACATTAAGTGTCTGAAAAATAAGATTACATATGATAAAATTATTTTATATTATCATCTAATCATAAATCACTATATATAATAAATTTATTAATTTTTTCAATAATTATCGTATTAGTCATGTCTATAATGAATTTAAATAATTAATAATGTAATTTTTTTTTACACCAACAATGCATGAATATTAAATTGGAAATATCTAAGTGACAAACAACTAGACTTGAATACTTAGTTTTTGCATTATAGAAATGAAAATGATTAATGAAACATAATAAAGCTAAGTCCTTCCATTTAATTATGCATGTTATACATAACTTATTTTAGGAGGTGACATTTTCTCACAAGGTAGATCAAAAAGTAATGCAAAACTAATGAGAAGAAAGACACGAGGAAAGAAAAAAAAAACAAAACAAAACATCATTCTACCAAGTATTTCATTCATATGATATGACAACCATACATGTTTACCTAGTTAGTCTCTCACTCGAGCTTTTAACGTTTCAATTCAAACTTTTTAATGCGGTTAATTAGATGACATCAACTAATAACATATACATATACACTAAATTGTTTGATGATTTGTAATTTCAGGATTTTTTAAATTTTGAAGACCAATTTGACTTATCATTACAGTTTGGGACTAATTTGATCGGTACTTTAATGTTTTAGGAACTATTTTATTAATTTTAAGGACTAATTTAATTGATCATTATAATTTTGAGGACTAAATTAATGATTCACATTAAAATCAACGATTTATTTTAATAAAAAATAACCTTATATCATAATTTAAGTGTATAATATAAAATTTAAATTATATATATATATATTAAAATGTATTTACTTATTATAAAATTTAAGTATAATATAAGTTATATATTTAAAAAAATTATTTATAATAAATTTAAACTATATAAAATATTTACATTATGAAATGAACAAATTAAAATACTATTTTATAAAAAATCAAGTAATTTAATATTTAAAAAAACAATAAGGTATATAATTATTTAATTTTAAGTTATATTCTGGTCAATTTTAAGTTGATCGATCCATATTAATCAATATCATAATTTTAACACGTGTAATGTTCATGCTAAATATGTATTGTATTTAGTTAAAATTTACAATAAATTATATACATAAGTAAATATTATTTTTCAATGCATAAACTATATTTTAAAATTTTATAAGTAGATATTTTTAAATATATAAATTATATTTAAATTTTTTGATAAATATTTATATTGTAGTGCAGTATTATTTTTATTTGTTAATAATTTATTTTAAAATATCAAAATTTAATTCATAAATAATTATGATAAATAAAAATCAAATCAGATTAAAAAAATTATTAAAGAAAAATTTCTAAAAATTCTTTCATGCAAAATAGAAATTTTTATTTAATATATAAAAGTTAATTAGATAATATTTAACGTATAAAAAAATAATGATAAATTATCTGATGATTCAGATCTGTTGACTTAAATTAATAAATTCTAAATCACATGAAAACATGTTTTAATATATTTGAAATATTTATTAAAAATTAATATCTTACTTTTTGTAATTTTATAATTTAATTTCAAAATTTATATTTATTATTCAAAAATGGAGTCATCCAATCTTAACCTAACCTCGATCAAGCTATGATTAGAATAGATTCCTGTCAAAAACAAAATATTAAATTGGGTACAGAGCAAATTAAACATAGTGACAGGTGTAATTTGAGTAGATGATTAGCAAGATTTAGAATATAAAAAATTACCGTGATAATATAAATAATGAGAACGACAAATTGAATTAAAAAAAATAAGGTAAGATATTCATGTCTCCTATACTAAGCCATAGACATCTTTGACGAAGCAACAAGAAGTTGCTTGAACCCATAAACTAAAGAAACAACACTGTATATCTATAACGTTACAATTATGGCTATACATACATACATGCCATTACGGTATTTAAATATGCAGTGCCACATCAATTACCTTCCAACAAAGTATCACTGTTCAACTGCATGGGGGTAAGTGTTTGCCATGTTCATCAAATGTTTATGGTTGAGACTTGAGACCCTCCAAACAACCTTATCAATATATTTTTTATTATTAACTGAAAATTATTAAAAATTTACATAATTTTATAGATCATGCTTTATATTTATTTGGAATCAAGACATTTTATATTTCTATATATTTTAAACAATAAAAAATAATATCTTATGTGTAGAAAGATATAACGAAAAAAAAATTAATTAAAGAAACAGTGATGCTACTAATAAAAATCTTGGTACTCAAAAGGATAAACGATTTAAATATTTGATACAATTAAAAGGGGCAAAAGGATTCATGTAAAAAATAAAAATCAAGATAAATATTAAAAAAGTATCCATTTATATAATAGTATATAGATAACGTATCATTTATAATTTATAATAATTTTAATAGATAATAAAAAAAAAGTGTAATTGAAGGAAGCAAGATAATTAAATTCGAAGCCATAATATATGATTTATAAGTAAATTAATTAAAAAAATAAATGTGTGAGTTTCCGAAAAAAAAAATCCCAAATTTAATAAAACTCAACAGCGATGAGGTTGGATTCAATTTTTTTCATCCCCTCTTACATAGCCTGATCCAAACCCACCCCACTATTTCAGAAGGAGGAGCACTGGAGCTGTAAGAACCAAATTCACCCCTGTTGCATTGCCCTGCAAATTTGAAGGAATGTGTTACTCAACTAACAAACATTCAAAAAAGTTAGAACAATAGTTTTTAATTTAATATCTTAGATACATATAATAAAAAAAATATTCAAAGACACATTAGGAGAATAAAAATTGTTTTTTACGTGTTTAATAATTATTTATTAAATGATAATTTACATTATAAATTTAGCCTTGAAACATATTAGAAAAAAACTAAAGAAAAATGTTAATAGTCTCTTTAAAAATAATTAAAATGTTTTTTTATTACTGACTAAAATATATTAAGAAATATAAAATTTATATTAATCCTGCTCTTTTTTTTTTTTTTATGAATCTTACTCATAATTTTATTATTTCTAATAAATAGGTTTTGATGAATTTTTTTTTTGTTTTATTCGGTATAATCTGAGTCAAGCTAGGAGAATTAATTTTTATTTTTTTTTACCTCAAATATTAGAACCTTAAGAATATTAAGCTTCTTGACTACTTGTCTCTTGGATCAAGAGACATTTACTCAAAAACTTAAGAAAATAAACTTAAGAAAATAGTTTTACAAATATATACTACTACCATAGACTCGAACAAACTCTATCAAACACCCCTTTAATCATTATATTCAATTATTAGCAAAGCCACTCTTATAATTAATTGGGCAAAGATAGATAGATACTTCTTGTATCTGCATTTTTCTAAATAAATAAAAAAAATCGACTGATGAAAGCTAAATCGAGAATATGAATGGACAGTTACTCTTGGAAGTGAAAGCAAGTTAAATAGAACATAAAATATAAAAAATCACACTAGTTATTCAATGAAAATCAAAGATAAAAAATTCAAAAAGTAAAAAATCAAAATGAGATATCCCATCAAGCATAGTTAAAGAGGCTAAAAATTTCACCATCATTATAAAAATCTTAAATAAAAAAAAATAACAACTTAAGAAAACAAGGCGTCTATTATTAGGCATTTGGAGAAATAAAGAGGTAGAGGCTACGAGGTACGAAGGAGTGAGGCTCTCACATGCTCATGTATCGTTATCATGGAGACATAGTCTCTTTCGTCAAGGCTGTTTACACAAAACCTTGAGACATTGTCATTGTTTGTCTACACCCCACTTTATTTACCTGCACATCATGTCCCCAATAAAGCATACTCAACATTATTTGGTAACTACTCAATCCTTCCCACTACTCAAGTCGGTTCTCACGTATATATATACATAATATATTATATACACGTCTAGCACCCAAGGAAAAATCAACCCAAAAATACACTTATAGATGAAGGAAGCAAATGCACTGATTCTACTGCTAACATATTCAGGAACATGCATGAATAGCAGACATGATAGCGATGTGAATCAGCAATTGTTTTTTTTGTTTATACCAAGGGATGTTGGCATGGGTTCATCTTTAAAACAATTAATATTGGAATGATCAAACATTTTATAGGAACCATTGCAACAGACACCAGAAGATCAAAAGATTCTCCCAACTATATACCCGTTACAGTAAACTGTCAATAAAACTTTAAAATAATTAACAGTAGAGCATCCCAGCAAAGTATATAATGACTCTAATCTGCCAATAAGTCTTCAAAGTCTCTTATCGCGGTGTGCTGAGACCCATTTCTGAGGAAAATTGAAAAAGCAAAATTACATAAGCATTGACTTATAACAGCAAAGTTTATTCTATAATAAAATGACCAAGCAAAGCAAGTGACATTTAACACACGTAAGCAGTAGCACAGCATAACTACATAATTGCAATATTGACAAAAAATGGGTATGAATATATAAAAGCCTAAAGGTAATAAACATACAAGATAGCAACCATAAGCGGCAATGAATTGAGCTGGAATATATACAACTGAGTGTTGCACCCTTAGGTTTTACTATGAAATTTAATACAACTATAAATGAGTTACTTAATCACATGGATGTCATCTAGTTCGTCTATTCTGGGAATGTAAAGTGTGTACTGTTCATATTTCAAAATCCTGAAGCATATGTATAAACGAAACAAAAAACACTTTCTTTACCTAGCATCCCCTTTTCAGCTCCTGCAAATGGATGGCAAAAGTAATTGCATCCTTTACTGCATTCCATCAAGCTAATAAACTAGTCTAACCACAAAAACCCATGTTGAAAGTTGTGATATTAAAAAAGTTATTGGAATCTATCACTGCAATGAATTAAGTATCAGCAATGGGACTCATAACCAAAGTACATATATGGTAGTCCATAGCAGGCTATAGTGGCACTAGAGCCGCCCCAGTTTGTTATTGGATTCCATTAGCAGGGTAATTTTTAGCAGCTGCCATCTTGGCCGCATGTGCAGGCAAAAACCAGACCATGATAGAATTCAGAAATTCATTTTACCCCATTTGCCAGTGTCATTTGTGGGGTGGGGAGAGGGGATTGCAATCCCCCTCACCCATTCAGAATGTTAGGAAAACCCATGTTTCACCTAATTTTCCATTGTGCAACACTCTCTCCTGTGTCTGGATGAACCACATACATCAATCCTCCTCTGTCAGCATACTCTCTCCTGTTTCACCAGGCTGTGATCGCAGTGGCCCTCTCAGCCCTCTATTCTGGTATGTCCTCTGTTCTCTCAGCCTTCAGTTACTGACTTACTGTTGTATCCCTTAGTTCTCTCTAATTTGATCAGCCCTTTGTTGCAGCTGATTCAACAATCTAAAACAGGTGTTCAAAGTTTCATCTTTCTCTACAGCGTATTCTCCTCTCTCTAGTCTCTAGGTTGGGTTTAAATTTTTTAGCATCAGTACATGTACAATAAATTTTTTTATAGCATACTTAATTTCAGCAAAGCAGTTATCCCGCTATGGCATTTTCAAGGTTGGCCTATCCAGGATCGATAACTATACTAGAGTAGTTCTTTATTTAGTGTGCACTATGAAAAAATGAAATACATAGGAAGTCTTCATAATGGCAGGAAAGTGAGCATCGATTAAGATAAGTTCTACTCTTACAGAAGTTCTAACCTAGAATATGGATGATCAAAATCTATACATAATGATTTCTTACATAGGAAAAATTACATGCATAATATTAATTAAAGCTTTGATCCTGGTTTAACAATTAATATTTTATTATTGATTCAAATATGGTCTATTGTGCCTTAATAGCATTTAGGTAGATCATGTTCTTATACAACCTTAGTAATCAGTTCTTAGTCTCAAATCCAAGTGCGACAATAAAGAGAATGTGTGCACCACTGCACCTTACGACAGATATTTCATATAAAGATCATAAAAAATCAAGAATTTCCTAGTTTCTATGCATAGCCTCAACTCTCAAGTTTAAATGTGAGACACTCAACAAGCATGCACAAACAACTTAGGGAGTGTAGTTTGGTGTTGGAGAGACCAAATCTCAGGTTGCAGGATTTGTTTTGCATTGAAAGTAGTGAGTATCATTTAATAGGTTTGGAACCCAAACTTGGTTTTGATCCCCTCAACTTTTTGCATTGAGTAAAATGACGCTTCTGTATATTGATAAAAATATCCTCTTAACTTGATATTATATTACTAATTTAATTATACCAAACAAGAAAATTCATCCGTTTTAGCAATTACAGATCTAAAAGTGATTTTTATCAACACTATCCAAACGACATTCATTATGCCAAAATCACATTAAATACCAGTTAATGTAATTTTGGATAAATGTTCACATGTTTGGTCCCATGTTGAGGAATTGATTTGGGACCAAAATTAATTTTGAGTTGAAGACTTGAAGTAACTTTAAATAGCTTTAGAATTGGATAAAAAATTAATATTGAGTTTCTGTTTTACTACTAACTTACTTTTAGAATAAAAACATTCAAATAGATATCACTTCTCTTCAAAATCAATTTTGCATGTGTCTACTCAAACACATATAAATCCATTCACTCAAACCCATTCTTTAACCAAAGTCAAGTTTGCAAAATCAAGTTCATATAGCATCAAGTTTGCAAACTCAAATCCAAGCAGAAACTAAGTTATTTAAAAATCAATTTATTTGGATAATACAGCAATCACATTGTTAGACATTTTGAAAGACTGCAAACAAAGAATATAAAATAAATAAATTAGAGACTTTAAACGACATACTGCACACAGAATGAACCATCGCAATTTCTAATGCTGACACATTGCCCTCTCAATATAAATTTGATTTCCGCCAAATTTCAGTGCATTCATTCTCTTCTGATATGGATAAACAGTAGTTGAGAGACAGGTGTGAGGTCCCTAAGCAAAAGTGCATGATGTGGAAGAAATTGAAAGAAGCATTGAGAATCTAAGATGCAGAATAGATTGAGAGTGTAGGATGACAATGAGGTTATGCTTACGGAGAGGAAAGGGTAAAAAAGAATTGGAGAAATCAAACTCCGGGGTTGGCACTGCAGAGCATACCCTGAGACAACGACCTCGACCTCCTCGAATCGACGCCGAGACAGGAGGTGAGGCGTGCTGATGAGACCGCCGAGTGAAGAGGAAGCAGCGACTGCACGCAACCCAGCTCAGCCACACGCCTGCAACACCACATTACATGAAATTAAAATGGGTAAAAGAAAAGAGATGGCTTTAGCCCTGAAGCCTGAAGGGGACTGACTTGCCTGGGCGTAACTGGGGAACGAGTTTTGAGGAGAGAAGCTGAGGGGATGGGTTTGGTGAGGGTGGATCTTATTAGGGAAAATGCCGGTTGCGAGAGAGATCTATAACGAGAAGCCATTGCAGTTTGCAGTTGCAGCCACGCAGCTAGGTCTTTCGATACTCTCACTCTCACAGTCACACTTGAGGAAAGGGTTTTGTCTTTTTCACTCTTCTTTCTTTGTTTCTTTTTTACCTTTCGTTTAATTATCCGTTTAGTAATCACACCTCCATAAACTTTATCTTTCAGTCAAAAAAAAAAAGTTTTATTTTTATCATATCATTTTTATCTTTTTTATATATATTTAATTTTATAAGAGAAAAGCTGGAAAATATTGTAAAGAGAACATTAAAAAAGGAGTGTTTATTAATTAAGTAGACGAGTGTATTTGTATTTAGAATTTCAATTTTTATTATTTTTAAATATATTATTTGAACAAGTTAATTCAATTAAATTTTTAATTTTTAATTTAGATAGGACAATTTAATTTTCACCGTCAATAAAGCTAAATTCTTAAAATTAAATTTTATAAAATTAAATATTAAATAGTTTTTATAAATGTTAATTTTATAAAACTAATAATTTTAAAAATTATTATTAAATAACATTTAATAATTTTTTTAATAATAAATATTCAATAACTAAAAAAATTATTGATATTTTTATGTCAACTTTGAAAAAGACAAGAGGGAAGTAAGAAAAAAAAAAGAGAATAATTTCAAATTCTTATTTTTTTTTTTAGAATTTAAAATTCTACATTGTTATTTAATCACTAATATTTGTATAATTGTAAACTTATTGACTTTTATAATTAATAAATAAATAAATAGATCAATATTGAAATATAATTAGTTAACATTGTAAAAGTAGTACTTAACTATAAAATTCTAAAACTAAACATAAAAATACTTTACTTTTTAAATGTTAACTAATTATATTTCAATATTAATATTTTTAAATGTGGCTTAATAGACAACGCCATTATGCTTACAACTCGCAAATGGATCGAGCTGAAAAAATACTTTACTTTTGAATAAATATTTTCAACTTTTGTAACCTTAACCAGGAAGACACTGATTCTCTAGTTGTTATGCATAGGAAGGTCCTAAAACTAGTCAAAACCAATTGGGAGATTGATAAAAAGGATATTGAACTTATAAAAAATGCAGTTATCAGATGCACAACAAAAGGAATGACACTTCCTGCTTTGTACAGAAGGATAGTTTACCCAACCCATCCAAATAAATAAACAAATGAAGTTTTTTAATCATCCCTGGTAGACAGGATACGGAAATTCATACAATTAGAGGTATAAAAAGGAAAACTACAAATTACTCCTATTGAACACTAGGAACTACAAAACCACCTTAATCATGCTGCATCGGCCACAATAAGGATAACTAATCAGACCATAAATGCTAGATAACAGGTTGGAACACAGACCAAGTGGCAACAAGCCTAGATGATTCATCATATTAGGACATGCTTCTTGAATGCTGTCAAAGCAGGGGCAGTCTCCCAGTCACTGAATCCACAGAAGATTTTGGTCCTGACATAAATCCAGTAATATGTAAAGGCATTCAATCAGAAAGCAACTTTGAAAAACATCAGCAACAAATACATGACTTTAACATTCAATTGTAAAAAGTATTTAGATTTTTTTGCATGATATACAAGCAACAGGAAGCTTACCAGGTCCAACAGCAAGAACAGTCTTTGATCCTGCCAAAACCTGAAGACACAAAAGCCTTAGCAATAATAACAACAAAGACCAAAAATGGATGGGTGTGAAGAGACGAAAAGCCAACCCCTCAACACTATTGCATTCCTAAGAAGTAACAATTTCACGAGGAGTTTGTTACTAACTCGGCAACACTATTGTATTACCTGTGTTCGTCCAGCATCAGCAACAACAAAAGTAGGAAGGCCAATACTCTCAGCTGTTTCCTTCAGTTTATTCCTGATCAAAAGTAAAGTCATCAATGTAGGTCTTGTTCTTTTGAACAACAATTGAATTTACATTATCCAGACTACAATCATCTGCTTACATTTCTTGTTGATTCCTGCAAGTCACAACAATTTTGGGTTGGCCACACTGTTCCCAATGTCTCAAAAGAGACCGATCACTGCAAAATTACACAGTAATAAGGATAACAACCAAAGAATATATTGCCTGAATGAACTTCACTATTAATGATATAAAAGCATGGCTAAGGAGTATAACAAAATCACTGGTATGGAATAATCATCAATTCATCATAACCAACTCTAATATGTATCTAATAGTGTCAACAAGCTCTATTTGTGTTCTTGTTTTTTCACTAAGGAGATGCTGGTGGGTGGCATGGCAGGAGGGCCAGTGGGCCACCAATAAAAAACTAGAAAACATCTCAATGCTCTGAAATGAATACTTATAAGGACAGAAGTACCTTTGCATTAATTCAGCGTACATGCCAGTGGCAGCATCTGCAACAAAACATGAAGGTAAAGGCATAAACTAATACACAAAGAGGATGGGAAGAGGAAATACGGAAGCTTGTAATGGGTGGAAAGGAAATCCTGGACAAATTTGAAATTTGAGTTAAAGAACAGTTCAAGAATTAACAGTAGTTTTATATCTTACGAGCACATTGGGATGCAATCTTTCCAGACTTCATCTTTAGGTCTTGCCTAACGACCAGAACCTGACACAAAACAGTTTATCATTGAATTCAGAAATTTCTGATCAGCCGGTGGAAGTTGTTCCTGACAATTAAAAGGACTGCATATTACATCTATTTACCCTGCCCATAAAAATTCTGAAACAGAAGAGGAGTTCAAGTAAACCAATTATTGAATAATTACATTCATTATCCAAAAGGTTTTGTATATTGAGTGCTTCAGTTACTTAAAAAAAGTACAAAGAAAATAACAGAAGTTATAAACTTATTCCTGGGATTTGTCCAGTTATTTCACTTCTTCTACGCATCAAATAGCATTTAGTCTTCTTAACAGTTCATTTGATTAAAAGAAATGTAGAGAAAACTGCTGACATATATATTGTATGCACTTACTCATCAAACAAGTTCATTAGTCAAACCTTGCAACTAATTGAGATATTACAAATTGACAGTAAAGGCGCCACTTCAATCACCTATATCCTTCCAACAAACTATACTGACTTGTTTACATAATGTACAAATAATCAACTACAACAGAGTGACAGGCATTGAATAACCCATTGACAAGCAAACCTCCCGTACTATTAGAGAGTGATAAATACGATGAAATAAACTAATGAAAACTAACCATTTTAAGTTCTTGATCACCATTACTTGAGACTGAGAGTGGCTGTTGAAGTTTGGTAGATGAGAATATTTTCTTGGACAAGTGATTTCTACTGGGCTTTGATAAATCTAACAACAACCCAAAAATGAAACCTATAACAACACCTGGAATGAAATTCTCTGGCTTGAAACTTCCTGCTAACCATTCTCCTTTTTGCCTCTGTTGTTGCTGCGTTTACATACAAACAACAGGTATGATACTTGTCAAACAAGTAGCAGGTTCTTATCTAAACTCACAATATAGAATTGACACGGTTCTCGATAAAAGGGGGAAAAAGAAGTAACTTAAAAGATGCGAATTTTGCACTACCCCTTTTCTGGGAGAGAAGTGCATGGTCATAGGAGAGGCTGGTGAAACATTTTGTATATAAAAAAAAGTATGAATTTTACTAAATTTTAAACCATGCGGATAAGTGTTTTGCTCAGTTGTTGGAACCAAAAAACACAGAAGAAGAGAGATATGGAAAGTGAAAGATATAAACTAACCTGGTCCCGAGGTTGATTAGAATTGAGGAATGAAGGGAACATTGGGTGTTTGAAGAGAAGGAAGAAGGGACATGAATGGGTTATGGGCAAAGGGTAATGAGAAGATGGAACAAGATTACCTACCCTCGTCGCTTTGGCCAGTGGAGAGACTATGCCGCATACAATTTTAGGATTGAGGTTTTTTTTTTAGGAAAAAAGTAAAAATATGTTTTTTACCTCTCAAAATATTTTGTATTAATTCTTAAAAAATAATATTCTTTTATACAAAAACTAAAATTACTCGTTATATTAGTCTAGTAATTGAGTAGAGGGAGATTGAAATAATTATAAATGAGACCTAGATTCAAACAAAATCACTTGCTATATTTCAAAAGTCTTAAAAATATATTTTATTTAAAAATAAAGAAATATGTAAAACCTTAATTTCTCCATTTAATTGTTTTTTATTTTAAAATAATCGGCCTTGGAATGTTTTTAGTGTTTTTTTCCTGAAAGAATGGCATTAATTCCTATGTATTAAATTATAGGTTATTTTTTCGTGTCACTATTAAAATCGTCTTTACCGTTTATTAACATTAGTATAAAAGAAGATATTGTGTCTTTGTAATATTTTTTTTAATGCACACGTATTAGTAAAATGGTGTGTTGTTATTGAAATTCAATAACAGTTTTAAAGATAAAATTTGTATATAAAATTTTATAGCATTTATTAATTATTATCATACACTTTACATAAAATTAAAATTATTAAAATAATATATATATATATATACTAAAATAAAAAAATTGTTTTTATATATTGTATTGCTGTTACTAGTTTTTACTTTTTCTTTTCTTCGTTTATTTTCTATTAAAATATTATATTTAGATAAATAAATTATATAATACTTATTTCCTTATGCTTTCGATCACAACACTCATTTTATTTCAAATTTTTTTGTGAATTCATAATTTTAGTTTTTCTATTTTATATTTTATTTTATTGACCTTAAAATTTTAATATTTTTTATAATCATCATTATTTAAGTAAAGTAATATTTAGCGATTATGACATGTAAAAATAAAATTTTAAGAAATAATATATAAAATATTTTTGTATATAATATACTTGAATATGATTGATATTTATTTTATTAAAAAAATTTATAAGTATGATTTATTTTAGTTTTTTATTTTTAAATGTCATGTTATTAAATATCATGTCAATTAAGTATATGTTAACATTAAAATTTAACAATTAATAGATGTTAAATTGTATGGATGGCCAAAATTTCACATTTTTTAAATTGGAGAAACTAAATATCTATAAGGACCAAAATTGCAGATTTATGAAAATAAAAAGATTAAAATTGCAATTTAGTCTATTGTCTACTTGTTTATCTTATTTTTTTACTTGCGTAGATTTGTATACTTTTATGATACTTCAAAAAAATTAAACAAAACTAACATAATATATTACATGGACAAATCATATTTTATCAACTAAACAGTGTAGAGCTAACTAAGAATGACAGTTATTTCATTATGTGAAGGAATCATCGTGTGTGGCTTCATGTTTAATGAGTTAATTTGTGCACACATTTGCTTCCCTCAAGGTGTACCTAAAAGGTCTCTTACCAATGAAAATAAATAATTGTATATAAATCTATGTTCACCCTCTTGTTTAAGTGATATGGGACTTTGATTGTATCTCAACAATCTCTCCCTCAAACAAAACATCATAGTTTAACCTTCATTTGCAACATAAGAGCTAAGTCACACTTTATGTACTTGCACAACCTTTCTATCATTAACTCGCAATAGTATAACACATCTTCTAACCTTTCATGTTACCAGTAATACTTTCCTTTCATATATGAACTCATTGTTAGGACGACTTTCAATACAAAGGATCATATTCCTAAATTCACTTGCCAACCATTGTAACGACTCGCCGTAGGCCGTCACATCAATAATCAATATGATAACTAAAATAAAATAATATATAATTAAGAAAAGAGAGCAAAGACCAGCTACACTAGAGTATAAATATACAATAACGTATAAATTGTTTCCATAATATAAAACAATTTTTATAAAAGGGTCATCATCAGCAAGGTTATACAGTAATCCAAAAAGATAATATAATTACAATATCATGAAAGTATCAAAATAAGACACCCTAGGTGCTAGTCAAGCTCTAAGTCTAGCCACTTCTCAAAGCAGCTACCCAAAAAGACTTTTTGTCATCCCAAAGCCTCACACCTGATCTGCTCCCCTACATAGTGAGATCATCACAGTCCACATCATGAAAATATAAGGGTTAGCACATATAAAACCAACCATAGTACAATAAAATGAAATATCATTAAACTAGATATTCATTAACAGTATGTATCCATACCCGGGTAATGACAACATGATAACAAGTCATTTCCATGCCAAATAAAAACCAATCCAAAATCCAATGTATACACATCCATGCCAATGCATACATATTCTATGATAATAAAGAATACATAATCAATGTATACAATCCATACCAAATGCATACATATTCCACATCCAAACCAAAGTCACACCACTGTATAATCCCATGAAGTAGTCAACACATCCAAACCAAATGTTGACCTCAACACATCCAAACCAAGTGTTGAATTTGTGAACATGTCACCTGTCCATGTCACACACCTAACCTCTCATGGAAAATATACAGTTGGGTTACGGCGTCACGTAACCCTGGTGATCGCGGCCACTTCATCCATCGGTATGACTCGGCCTTGCCCCCATACCGGTAGTAAATAGAATACTTAGAGGAGTACTTCAGAATCCACCTAACATCTGAAGTGGTTTATTATATAATCTTTGAAAAAGTTCCATATTGGAATCCTCACCATGGGACTCCCAAATTTCATATTTTTCCAAAGATTATATCCAAATCTCACTAAGAGATATTTCAATCCATACCATAACCTTACTCCTCTAAGTCCTATTAGCTTTCCAAACCAAACACACATAGCATATTCCATAATTACATACAAAATTTTCCATAACCATGCCAAATTACTCAATATAACAACATAAATAATTAAACACCCAAAACAACTATCAACTTAACCAAATTACCCTTTGTGAAATGACAATCTTCATATAAAATAGCATATCAAGAGTTATACTACTCCTATCATTCTCATCTTTATCTCATATCATATGAAAGATAAGAAGATTTCATACAACTCTTATGAAGACATAAAGTCCTAATTCCATCATCTACATTGTTAAAAATTCTAAAAACTGCAACAGCTATAACCAATGATGGCACCTTGACCCCTGTTCACTAAAACAATCATATCTGGAGTTCTAGACATCATTTTTGGGTGATTCCAACGCCATTGGAAAGGTAACATCCAAGGCTACAACTTTCATGAAGACCTCAAGACCAACATACTCATGCCCAGCGCACTAATATCGCGTCCGGTGCAAAACTCAAACAGAGACCTACAGAGGTCATTGCGCCCGACGCATTTATGCTGCGCCCGGCGCAATATTCAGTGACCAAATTGCGCCTGGCGTGACTAACCTTGCCCCCGGCGTGATTTGGCAGTGATGGCCTCTGATGAATTCATGCCCGGCGCCAAGAACTGCGCCCGGCGCATTTACAACCAGAAACCCTCGAAAAACCTTGAAAATTCCTTCCAATCATGAATCCAATCCAAATTACATGAGTTTGAACCATTATAAAGCATAAACAATATCCAAAAACAACATTTTAAGCAATAAAATCAAGTATTAACCATTACTCCATGGAAATCATGAAGAAATCATGAAGAAACCTAACCAAACCCTCTCCAGCTCAATTCAGCCTCAATCATGCGTAAAACATGGAATCAATGTGATATTTCAACCCATACATACTAGATTAAGTCTTATAAGTACTACCCTTACCTTAGAAACCTCAAAAATGCAAGATTTGGACAAAACCCTCAAATCCCAACTCAAACTTTAATCCCTCTTTTCAAGGCTTTAGAGGCCAAATCTCTTGAAACTCCAGTTGTAAAGATTGATGTTGGCTTGATAAGCTTTCCAAAGGTGTCCTCAGCTTCTCTCCAGACCAGAGCCCCTCTCTCTACTTTCTCTCTCTTGAAATTGTTTGTCTGACAAATGAGACCCTCCGGTCTTAAGTCCCTATATATAGTCATTTTTCAAAATTTTCAAATTTCACCCTTAGCAACTATTCACCTCAAATATCTTATCCCTTGAAGTATTTCAACTCCCTAAGCTCTAAAACAACTTCAAATTCACTCAGAAAGACCAAATTTATCTTATGTTCCCATCCTTCAATCTCCTACCTGTCCTATTTCTTTCTATTACAATATGCACAACTCAACACCATATGAAATGCAACATGTATCAACACACAAACAAACATCACTTTCAGATACATATGCTTGGAATAATGAGTTGCATGCCATAATACTTCACTTAACCAAGATGAGAAGGAAGGTGATCAGTCTTCTTCCCTCTTAGTACCAATTCAGTATAATGGTGTACAATGCATCATTCACCAAATTCATGTGCACACATGCCTATATCAACATCTCAAAACATCAACATCTCATCTCATACTACAAAATCACTACTATGCTTAAACAACTA